GTTAGATAATTCACAGAACGAAACCGAAGAGATTTCGGGAAACGAATAAATTTTTAGGTGTCCCAGAATTTATGAAACAGCTGTAAAACTAAGTGCGGGCCGGGCCGGGCCACAAAAATAGGTAATTTGCAGGCCCCTAATCCACGCGCATAAAAGAAATTTTATTCATCATTTGTTACACGACGAAAATAATGTTACAGATATCACGGTTATTGGCAATTACAATATAGGTCGTAATTAATGATTGGGTACTGCTGTGCTATGAAGACACGGTGTCATTATGTGGCAATCGTGATTTTACGCTGTTATAATAATTATTTTACATTTGTTATTAATATGAGAGATATAATTTATATATAAAACATCATACAGTAATTATATTACGACAAGGCGAACATGAGTCTTTTACGTTATTGATTCAGATCACTACCTAATATAGTATCTAACCTTAATATATATAAAATATAGAACTGTATCAAAAAATGTAACCTAAAAAACTCAAGTTTCACCCTCCCGTATTATATTTGCAACTACATTTTTTTATGGGTGATCCTAGGGTTGTAGGGTTATTTATGCAACCCGTTTTCACCCGGATACCCGATTTCAAAATCATGCAGGTGACCCGGGTGACAATTTGTATCCGGTTCAGACCTCTATACTGAATTTGCCATACTTCCACTCATTACACCTTCATGAGGGTTGAATGTAAATCCATCGAATTGTCGTTGTATGGTCTCAGAAAGATGTGAATCGTTGACTAGTGAATCTTGAGGTGTCTCTGAAGTGAATTCTTCGTCAAAGTTCGAAGTATCAATAGCCGATTCCTGGAACGAAGCGAGTCAATTCAATCAAATGATTAATATTGATTTAAAAATATCATAATTTAAATCACGTTACATACAACACTGGGCTTAAAAGGCGGTTGGACTTTTTTTAGAATCAATCTTTTCCAATCTATAGCAGAAAAGAATTGATGATCCTTAATTTCTTGGGCACCATTATTCCCAAGGCGGTGGTTAGGATCTCTGGTTAATAACTACAAGCAAACATATAGTTATTAGGTTTTTAAACATAACATTTACAAAATGATTCACGCTTAAAACTCGTTTACATACCCCTGACAATAAACTTCGAGCCTCGCCACTAACTTCATCAGGAAATCTTAATTCATCCTGCAAAATCTTTCGATACATTTCATTGGTATTTTCATCATAAAAAGGCGGTAGACCTGTCAACATCTCGAACAATAAAACTCCCAAAGTCCACCAATCTATTGTTTTAGTATAACCTTGGCCTAATAAAAGTTCTGGAGAGAGATACTCAGGTGTCCCGCAAAAGGTATTGGTAGTCTCAGATTCTGTCATGTTCAGTTTACAAAGGCCAAAATCGCATAGAGCGATGTGGCCTGAATAATCTAAAAGAATGTTTTCGGGTTTTAGATCCCTTATATTGTCCGAGAAAATATATCAAAAATATTAAGGGTAAGATTTAATGTAGATATATCAATTCTATGATTGCTAAGTGAGAGAAAGTATGCCATTTTTACTTAAAATGCAACTTTTTTTCCCTTTTTTATTTTTATTTTTATACTAAATACAATTCCATTACTTGATACTAACCGATAAACCACGTTGAAGTCATGTAAGCATTCCAATGCGCAAAGCAATTCCGCAGCGTAAAATCTAGACCTATCCTCGTCAAACCGACCTTCCCGTTGCAAATGATGGAATAATTCACCACCATTCACAAAAGCTAACACCAAATACAATTTCTCTGGACTTTGAAAAGAAAATTTCAAAGGTACAATGAAGGGGTTGTTTATTTGTGCCAAAACCGTACGCTCTGCAAGAGTATGATTCACCTCTGATCGGGATACAATATGGGCTTTGCGTATAGTTTTTAACGCGTAGATACGAGAAGTATCTCGTTTTCGGACTTGCATGACCTAGCAGGTTACATATGAAAATGTTGAATTAATAATACAAATAGCGAGCCAACCCATATTCTCTAAGGAGTTATCTCAAAATATAATTCTTCCGAAATAGATTAAAATCAATGTTAGTAAATCACACTACACCAGATAATTAATTAAATACCTTGCCGAAACTGCCCTTACCGATGACTTTCAATAAATCGAATGCATCAATTGTAAGGGGCACATTTGCCTAAAGATATAAAAATAAATTTCTCATCGTAAAGAAAAATAAATAAAATAATAAAATTCAATCTTCCAGAGAAAGTGAAATCTACATACATGGTCCTTTTTGTAACAGACGTGCACATGAACATCACCTGAACCACCTTGCAATTGGTACCATTGTTCATGCAATTTCTTTAATAAACCGTTGGAAGATTTAATATGTCAAATAATTTGAAGAAACGAATTCCTTGAATTTTGCCAGGTTACTCACATTTGGTTCATTAAACCTAGGCACAATCTTTGCACCACCCAAAAACACATCATTGCCCATATCATTAGTATGTTGACCGGTTTGGGTGGATTTTCGGAGATATATCTGTATTGATATATCGGATTCTCGCGAAACATCACTGTATGTCAAGATGAATCAGAGAATTTTTAACAACCTAGAGGTCTAAATTTAGTTAAAAATTATTATAACACTTTAAGTACTCACAAATGCGCCTTATATTGCCAAATAGGATTTTGCACTTCACCACCTAGAGCGTCGATCAATACTTCATTTTTTATCAAATTCTAGAACTACGTATGGAAGCCACCAGCATTGTTTCCTCTGCATGCTATCTCTGTTACCCCGCGTAGACGCTGGAGTTGATGATACAAAGTGGGGAGGGATTTGTGGTGGTCTTATACCTGGAGGTAAAGTGAGTCCGCGTGCTTCAACGACACGGATGAGAAGAAGACCAGAAGCTGGAACGGGCGTAGGGCTTGTAGGAGTGGAAGGACCGTAATTTCCATTATTTCCATCAGTTCCTACTGCAGAACTCTCCCTACCATACTGTTGTTTATGTGAAGGTTGCCAAAGCTTTTGCATCATTGGTAAAATGTTTTGTAAACCGGGTCGTTTTAAGTAAGAAGGAACCTTTGTTCAAAGGAGAGTATGTTAAAATCGTAATAATCAACGGCAAAACTAAAATAGAATTTTCGCGAAAACTAACAGCTAATTAGATATAATATCAATTAAACCA